ATTTTTACTACTTCTTCTTCTTCTTTTTTTTTTTTAAATCTACTGTTGGGATGCCTGTGTGGCTCAACAGTTGAGTTTCTGCCTTTGGCTCAGGACATGATCCCAGAGTCCCAGTATCGAGCCCCACATTAGGCTTCCTGTATGGAGCCTGCTCCTCTCTCTGCCTGTGTCTCTGCCTCTCTCTCTCTCTGTGTCTTTCATAAATAAATAAAATCTTTAAAAAAATTAATTCTTGTATGAGCTTTGACAGTATGTATTTCAAGGGATATGTCTATTCTAATTAAGTTGTCAAATTTATAGGCATAAAGTTATTTATAATTTTCCCGTCTCTTTTTCATATCAGTAGACTCTATAGTTGTGTCACCTCTCTCATTCCTGATTATGGTAGTTTGTGTCTTTCTTTTTTTCTTCCTTGATAGTCTGTCTAGAGGGGTCTCAATTTTATTGATATTCTCAAAGAGTATTGGTTTATTAATTTTCTCTAATGTTCGTTTTCTATGTCACTGATGTCTGCTCTAATCTTGTTTCCTTTCTTATGCTTGTTTTGTAGCTGCTCCTCTATTCCTAAATTCTTAAAGTAGGAGGTGAAGTCATTGATCCCCCCCCATATGGTGTTTAGTGCTATAAAATTCCCCTAAGTACTGCTTTAGTGACATCCCAAAATTTTTGATATATTGTTTTCATCTCCAGTTCAAAATATTTTCTAGTTTCCATTTGCATTTCTTTTTGTGACTCATGGGTTTTTAGAAGTGTATTAGTTCATTTTCATATTTGGGGATCTTCCAGAGGTCTATGAGTGATTTATCATTTAATTCTATTGTGTTTCCAGAATGCACTTTGTAGCATTTCAATCCTTTTACCTTTATTGAGATTTCTTTTATGGCCCAGAAAATGGTCTATCTTGGTAAATATTCTCTATGTTCTTGAAAGAAACATGTGTTCTGATGATGCCTGGTTGAGTGTTTTTTAAATGTCAACTAGGTCGAATTGGTTAATAGTGTTCAGATTTTTTACATCCTTCATTATTTTCTGTGTACTTATTCTATCAATTAGTGAGAACTGAAGTATCTGACTGTAATTGCAGATTTATCTATTTTTCTTATTGATCTATTAATAATCATAAACCTTAAAATATTTATTTCCTCTTAAAATACTGGCCTTTTTTTAAACTATGAAGTGACTTTCTTTATCCCAGGTAATATTCTTTCCTCTGAAATCTTTCTGATACTACTATAGCCATTTCAGCTTTCTTTTAATGAGTGTTAGCATGGAGTAGTTTTCCATTCTTTTATTTTGAACCTATTTGTGTCTTTATATTTACTGTTTTTCTTGTAGGCATCATATAATTGTACTTGGGTGTTGCTTATTTCATCCAATCGGACAGTGTCTGCCCTATAGTAGGAAGAGTTAGGCTACAATTGACCATTAGGGATGCCAACCCCTCATGCAGTTGAAAAGCCACAAATAACACTTGACTCCCTCACACTTAACTACTAATAGCCTACTGCTGACCAGAAGCCTTAATAACATAAGTAATCATTAACGCATATGTTGTAGGAATTATATACCATATTCTTACAACAAAGCAAGCTAGAGAAAAAAATGTTAAGAAAATCATAAGAGAAAATACATTCCCAGAATTGTACTGTATTCATTGAAAAAAATCTGTACAAGTGAACCTGCATAGTTCAAATCTGTGTTGTTCAAGGATCAACTGTACTTATATATTATGTGATTATTGATATGGTTAGATTTAAGTCTGTCATTTTGTTATTTGCTTTCTATTTGCCCCACCTATTCTTCAGTCCCCTTTCCTCTTTCAAATTAATTTAGTATACTATTTTATCTCCTTTGTATGCTTATTAGCTTTATCTTTTTTTCTTAGTGGTTGTATTAGGGTTTATAATATATATATATAATATATATATAAAGAGAGAAAAAGGTGTGTGTGTGTATATATATATATAATTATACATGTTATAAATCACTTTATATTTATGTATCTTTAACTTGTCACAATCTACTTTTAGGTGATAGTATACCATTTCACATATAAGACTCTGGAATAGTCTTCCATTTTTCCCTGGAAGAATGGAATCATATCATATTTTGTCTTATATATATTTTATGTCTTATATCTTTGTCATATATTTTACTTTGACGTTTTATAAATCCCACAATATACTCCTATTATTTTTAATTATCTTTTAAAGAAGTTTAAATAATTAGAGAAAAACATACGTAATTGCCCATGTGGTTATCAGTACCCTGGATTACTTTGTGTAGATCCATATTTCCATTTGGTATCATTTCCTTCTTCCTAAAGGATTTTAGCATTTCAGTAGTGAAAATCTGATGGTGAAATCTTTCAGTTTGTTAAAGCTAAAAACTTTTTTTCCTTTGCTTCTGAAAGATGTATATTCGCTGGATACAGAATCCTAGGTTGACAGTTTTTTTTTCTTTCAGTACTTTAAAGATGTTCCACTAAATTCCCTTTTGCTGAATTCAGTAATGGGAAATGTACTGTCCTCTAAGATTTTTTATTATTGGTTTTGAGAAATTTTGTTATCATATACCACGGTATTGTTTTCTTGTTTCTTATGTTTAGAATTTGTTGAGCTGCTTGATAAAATGTTTTCATCAAATCTGGAAATTTTTCAGTTTCTGTTTTTCCTCTGTTTTTCCTTCTACAATTGCAATTCCAATTATGTCAAGATTCTTTAAAGTTACATGACATCATATATATATAATTAGAATTCCATTTTTTCCCCTCAGTGTTTCATTTTAGGTCATTTCTACTGTTCTAATTTTAAGTCTACTAACCTTTTCTTCTGCAATCTCTAATCTGTTAATCCTTTCCAGTATATTTTTTATCCCATGTATTGTAGTTTTCATCTCTTAATATTTGTTTTGAACCCTTTTTATATTTTCCAGGTCTCTACTTTTTGAGCATATGGCACATAATTATAGTAACTGTTTTAATGCCATCTACTAATTCTAACATCTGTGTGAGTTCTGTTTCAGTTTCAATTGATTGATTTTTCTCCTCATTATGGGTATGAGTACAGACTTTAAATTTTTTGTCACAGAACACCAAATTGCCCTCCAAAAATGTTTTATCATTTATCCTATCACTACCAATGGATGAGTGTCTGTTTCCCTTCCTATCCTGCCAGTACCAAATTTTGTCAGTGTTTAATCTTTGCCAATTACACAGACTAAAACTATTTGCTACTACAACAGATATTTACTGAGCACTGACTATAAGCCTACTGATAGATGGCAGCAATTCTGTGGTGACCAAGCAACCACTGTAGCTGTCCTCATGGTGCTTTATAACTTTGTGGTGTTTACCATGTTTTTATTTGTTTTTTCATTGATTATCAGTGACACTGAGCATCTTTTCCCAAGTTTGTTGGTCACTTCTATTTCTTTTTTGGTATAGTGCTACTAATGTTCATTGGTCACTTCTATTTCTTTTTTGGTATAGTGGTACTAACGTTCACTGGATTGTTTGGATGTTTTTATTCTTTTGTAAGAGCTACATATTTACTAAGGATAAATAACCCACATTCACTTTTTTTTTTTTTTTTTTTTGAGAGACAGCGTGTGTACAAGTTGGGGAAGCAGAAGTAGAGAGAGAGAGAGAATCTCAACCAGACTCCCTGCTGAATGCAAAGTCCGATGTGGAGCTCGATCAACCCATGAGGACATGACCTGAGCTAAATCAAGAGTCAGATGCTTAACCAACTTCAATCTTTTGAATAAAAAAACTTCTGGAACTGGAGGGTATTATGCTGAGTGAAATGAGTTAATCGGAGATGGACAAACATTATATGTTCTCATTCATTTGGGGAATATAAATAATAGTGAAAGGGAATATAAGGGAAGGGAGAAGAAATGGGTAGGAAATATCAGAAAGGGAGACAGAACATGAAGACTCCTAACTCTGGGAAATGAACTAGGGGTGGTGGAAGGGGAGGAGGGTGGGGGGTGGGGGTGAATGGGTGACGGGCACTGAGGGGGGCACTTGACGGGATGAGCACTGGGTGTTATTCTGTATGTTGGCAAATTGAACACCAATAAATACATTTATTATTTAAAAAAAACTTCTGTGGTACAAAGACATTTCCTTTAAAATTAACATTGTACATAATTTCTTTGAAGAAATGATCTGCATGTTGCTCAAATACTTCTTTTTCTACATTAAAAATAAATAGGAATGGATTCTAGTTTAAAAACAATGCCCTTAAAGGCAAATATTTTTGAATATAAAATACATATATGAACACATAAAGTATACATATATAGTTTCATATATATCTGACATGACCATATAAAGGACTTACATCCTTTAGAAATAATTATGCAGATTCCAAATGCCATTTTACTCTCTAATGAAATGGAAAGTCAAAGACATGAAACATTTCTAGATTAAATATTCCCAGCTGATTAAATATTTCTGGCCAAGCCATCTCATCTGGATTGGAAATGCCCTATATGCAAGATTGTTAATTTGTAATTGTCTAAGATCTATTCAAAGGAGAAAATGTCAAAATTCCCATTACACTGTTTGCTTACCCACTGAAGAGCAGCAAGGGCTCTCATAAACATGAACAAGAGGAGCAAGGCACATGCTACCTATTCATTTGGCTGTGCAGGTAACTGCTTCCTGGGAGCATTAGGATGAATGCCTAGAGATGCAGTTTTTGTAAAGTGCCCAGTGTCTTTTTAGCCTTCACAGGCAACATGAGGTGGCAGGGGATGGTGGACCCCAGGAAATGTTCGGCTTTCTGGCCAGGAATATGACTTGTACACAGGTCACAGGGCTAAGGGGTGTTGTTAGCTCTCTGAATATGATGGAGGAATGTATGCCACCAGTTATTCTGTGAATTCATAAACTAAGCAGTTTTAATCATAGTGATGATGACAACAGCCAGCAGAACCCCAAGGGGCCCAATCCATCAGTTTGTCCATTGGCCCTGGCACCCCCAACTGACCTGTTTGGTGTAGGTGGTCTCTGGCCACCTCAAACAAGCGCAGGTGCATGTTGGTGATGGGATTGAAGGAGCCACAGGCCAGGAGAACCACTGGGATTCGGCTCTTCATCTTGTCGGGCACATCCACGCCCACGGTAGTGGCCACCCTGCCTTCATGGGGACAGAAACTCAGGTCAGAGTTGGCACCAGACCACCATCCAGATCAGTGTCCCTAAAGCATACAGAGGCTATTCTCATTTCTCACTTATAAGGTGACTGAAGGGGCAGTAATAACATTTATGGAGGATTTACCTGTGTTCAACACTATGTCACAGTATCTCCCTTGTTTCACTGAATCCTTTCAACAACCCTGAGTGATCACCTATCCAGCCCAGGGGCCTGTAGAAGCGGCAGGACTGGAACCAGACACCTGATTGCAGAGACTGTAACTTCTATACCCTCCCTTGGCTCTGATGGGTCACCTCAGAATCAAGGAAGTATGGAAGACTCCCATACATCATCTCTGATAGTCCAAGTGAAACTTACTAGGTCCCAGAGTAGACTGGCACTTTTATTTTTATTTATTCTTAAAGATTTTACCTATTGTCCTTTACCTAGGGCAGAAGCATTTTGAAGGTCTGGTCCACCCTCTTGTCTCCACACAGGGGATTTCAGGGCCAGGGTGAGATTAAAGGGAAGCAGAAAACAGCACACTCCAAGGCACACTGGCAGACATGGCTCTCATGCCTCTGAGATGCTGCCTCCTGGAGTGAGAAGCTCCACTGGAGAGTTAGGCCCTTTTCTGACTCCTAGTTTTACCTCTTACTAGCTGTGTGCTGTAGGGCAAATCAGTCCCTCTGTGAGCTGCAGTCCCCTCACATGCAAGGTGAAGATAATATTTCCCCTTACAGGGTAGTTGTGAGGATAAATGAGCTATGTATGGGAAGTCTGGTGTAGAAGAAGCGTTTAGTAGATTACTGTGGCTGTGGTGATGATCATGCCCATAATGGGTGCTGCAGCTGCTGACCATGACAAGGGAGGAGGGGGAGAGAGGAGGTGGCCCCTGGTGATCCTCATCACCTGGTACTCACCTGCAGTCCCCTCCCCTTGAGTGTGGTCTGGGCCTAGTAACTAAATAGAATACAGGAAAAGAGCGGACTTTTACTTTGGAGAGATTACAGAAAGTTCTCTGGCTTCCCTCCTTCTTTCCTGCTTGCTCACCCTGATGAAGCCAGCTATCTTGTGAGTTGCCTCACAGGGAGACCCACGGGGCAAGGAACTAAAGGAGACCTCTGGTGCCAAGAGCCTGTGAGGAATTAAATCCTGCTAACAAGCACATTAGTGAATGCGCAAGTGAGTCATTCCCCAATCAAATGTTCAGATGAGGCTGCAGGCCTGTGAGCATCTTCATCGCAGCCTTTTGAGAGACTCTGAGCCTGGCCCACAGAAACTATGAGATAATAAATGTGTAATATTTTAAACTGCTAAATTTTGGGTTAATTTGTTAAGTGGCAAGGGGGTAACTAATATGGTGGCCAACAGGGAAAACGCATTCACTTTCTTCCTTTCATTCTAGCTATGGTGTCTTTGGCTGTAATTCTGCAGTTGCAGGGGTAAATGTGGAGAGTTCTCGTTCACTGGAACCTGAACTCTTTTTATCTAAGGAAACTGTTTTAATCTGGCCTTTGTTGTCTGTCTGCTTCTCCAAATCCAATGCAGCTGCCTACTTTTAGACTCTTTGTCATGCAAGAAACAAATATCCTTTATTTGTTTAAGCCACTGAAGTTAGGCTTCTGGGACTTTTAGCCAAATGCTACAGAGGCTGGGACTTACATCCAACCACTGCCTGCCTCAAACTTTATACTCTAGCAACAGTGAAGTACTTGTCAGTGGTTTCTTTGTAAGCTCCTCATGGCTTCTTGCTTCAAGCCTTTGTACATGTTATTTCACTTTCCTCCAACTAGAATATCCCCAGCACACCCCAATCTGTTAAGATTCAACTCGGGTAACCACATTATTTGTGACTTCAATCACTATTTTTTGACTGCCTGCTAGGTGCCTGTATCAGTTAGGGATGCATTTGGCTACAAGTCCCAGAAGCCTAAAACTTTAGTGGCTTGAACAAACTGAAGTTATTTGTTTCTCGCATGACAAGAAGTCTAAGTAGGCAGCTGCTATTAGGTCACTGGCTCAACAGGGACCTGCAATTCTCTCAGCTTTTCCCTCATGGTCACAAGATTGCTGCTGTAGCTGCAGCCATCATGAAAATGTACAAGGCAAGAAGGAGCAAAGAGCTCCACTAGACTGGTTGTCCCTCTTAATCCAAAACAGAAGGGCTTTTTCAGAACCACCCTGTAGATTTTGCTTCTTATTCACCACAACTAGATCACACATGGCCCCTCTTGCTGCCAGAGAGGCAGGAAAAGCAAGTATGTAGCTTTACAGGCTCTCCCGTGGGAAGCAGCAAGGAAAAGGGAATTGGAAATAGGATTAGCTCATGTACAGGGTCCGCCACAGAGTTGGGGATACATGGAGACATGGAGCTGACTGTGTACAAGGCTGCCGAGGTGGCTTTTCTGACAGCTAGCTCAGGTCAGCTGATCTATGCCCTACCCTCAGTAAATCATATAGCACATTCTATTGAAAAAATTGCTCTTGTTTCTTTCCTACCCACCAGACAACAAGCTCATTGAGAACAGGAGTGGTGTTTCCTTCATCTCTAGATCCCAGCTTCAAGCATAGTGCCTGGCCCAGAGTAGGGTTCAGTGAAGACTAAAAAGGGTACTGGCTAGCTGCAGAGGGGACCTGGGTCCTGGTAGGGGAAAGGCCTAATGCCCCCTCCTAATATAGAGAAGTTGTTCTGGATGTATTCTGAGGTAGAGCATATAGATAAAAAAAACCTCTCAACCTAGGGGGGCTATGGTTTCTTCAAACTTCCTTTAAGGCAGCAGGAACACCCCCTACTGCGAGAGAAGAAAGCGGTCTGCAAGCTACTGCTGCTAGCTTCTTCCCAGGGAGGTTGGATGGTTTAATGAGATATTATTTGCAGAGTATGCTTAGCTATTCACAAGAGCAGCCTTGTGATGAGTGTATCTGAAGAGGCTGGCTGTTGTTCACAACTATTACGAGGCCTTTCAAACTTCTATTTCATTTTGACAAAATATAATTTTGTAGAGCCATTAAAACATGTAACTGCAGCATCTTAGGTAACCTGGGGTTTTGATTCATTTTTCAAAAGTTCCCAGAAACTGTAAATTAGATCATTTGTTTGAATGGTGGCATCAACAGCAATGAATTGTGATGTTGGGAAGAAGTGACATTTAATAGGTGTCTGTCTTTTCTTTCCTTGCCAGCAGCCCACCAAGCCACACTGCTCCAGAGTGGCTTAGCCTGACAACCGCAGCCGTGGTGGGAGGAGGCAGTGAGAGCTTGTTTCCAGGCTCAGGAATGATATCGGGGTTCCTGCCTCACTTGTATACTCTTGCCTCAACTAAACACCCTCTCAAACCCAAACCCAGAGAGATACAGTGTCAGCCTTAGAATGGACTAACTCCAGGCGCCACCAGGAGAATAAACCAGGCTCTGATTTGAGTGCCGGTCTCTCTCACCAGACACGAGGACAGATGCACACGAGTGACTCATCTGCCCTGCCATCTAGCACTATCTAGTGAGACAAAGCAAGTGTGGGAGACTTTTGTTATCAGGAAAGGCTTCTCATCAATAAGCATTTAACTGGCAGCGCGGGGCAGGGGGTAGTGGCCCACAGAGTGAGCAATAATTGCTGCTGAAGGACTTAACGAGTTGAGGAGGCGGCATACGTGGCCATCTCAGAATTTATCATTAAACCAGAGACAAGGCCCAATGCACTGGGCCTTCCACAGATCGAAACTGACCTTTCTGGCTTCCAAGAGGCACTTGAGACCCCTTGCCAACATCCCACTTCCACTGCACACCGAAGTCAAACAAGACATTCCTGCCCTGGGGTGCCTTCGTCAGTCAGGATCCCATCGGCAGGGATACACCGACTTCCTGCCCGCTGGCACCAAGGGCATCCATCCCTCTGCTCTGGAGAGCTGGAAGCCACCAGCTGCTGCTTTGACAGGGAGAGGCTTTGCTGGTGTGATTAAATTCGGGATCTTGAAAGAGGGAGGTTTGCCTGGGTTATCCAGGTGGACCCAGTTTTATCATGAGGGTAAATAAGGAGGGGGGGGTCAGATATAGAAAGATGGAAGGGCCAAAGTGACAATCAGAAAGGAAGGTTCTATGCTGCTGACTTTGAAAGAGGAAGGGGCTGCGCACCAAGCAGTGCAAGTGGCCTCCAGAAGCTGGAATTGGCAAGGGAACAGATTCTCCCCCAGAGCTTCAGAGGGAATGCAGCCCCTTCTGACACCTTGCTTTCAGACTTCTGCTTCTAGAACTGTAAGAAAATAAAACCATGTTGCTTTAAACTAGCAATTAATGGCAATTTGTTGTAGCAGCCATAGGAAACGAATACACTCACCTATGTGGGGGCAGGCTCTCTCCAGTGACCTCAAGCCGGGGGCAAGGAAAGTGAAGAACTGAGCCAGCGATGAGGGTACTGAAGGGGGCATCGGGCAGAGGGACCAGCATGGCAAAGGCCCAGAAACCACCACTAGGGTGGGTGATGAACTAAAAAAGCACAGCCACGCGGTGTGGGTGACTCAGGATCCAGGCTGCAGAGGGTGTAAGGATCCTGCAGGCCCCTAGGGGGTCTCCTGAGACTTGATTTTATTCCTCGGGGAATGAGAAACCTCTGAGGATTGTAAACGAGGGTGTGTCTTACTCCTATTTCTGTTTCAGAAACAGCTCTCAGGTGCTCCCCAGAGAGCGCGTCCGGGAAGCCCCGGGGTGGCTACTTCCAGGACCCCTGTGCCTGGGGAAGGGCAGGCATTTCCGCAGCGCTCCCCCCCCCCCCCGCCCCCAGGACGGCCTTTCCTGCTGCCTACATTTCACTCCAATCACCCAGCAACGTGATGCCAGCCGATGCCCCGCATGCACCAAATTCTAACTAAGTGTGCACCCTTCGGCCCATTTGTCACAGGCCATCGCTGAGACACAGAAAGGAAAGGCGAGCCAGGAAGGTTAAGTGCCGTCGCTGCAGATGCAATGTGCTAATGCTCCTGGCTTGGGAGGCGGTCAATTTACCTTTC